GCACTAAATCTCTGGCACTGTAAGCCTACTAATTAACTTCATTTTTTACTCTCTGCAGATTAATTTAAAAAAAAACAACTTTCAGATTTGGCCAAAAGCAGCTACCATTGGGACCTCTTATTGGAAACCAGAAGTCATGTAATAGAAAAGACAGTTACAAGTTTACATCATTATATAAGTAGTATCCCCCATAAGCTTTGACCTCTATTCTGGTTCTTTTAAAGAATTTTAGCACCATACAGCCTCTCTGAATGTTTATAAACATCTCACCATCCATCTACCCTGATGAAGCAGCCTGGCATTAGGATCATCTATCTGCCTGTGAAACTCCAGGATTGATGGAGGAGTCTCTACAACGTTGAATGGCCTGCTTGGAGCCCAAGGGGCAAAGCTGCTCCCTGTTTGACACTACCCTGCTCAAAGTGGGCTTGGGGCTGGTTCCCCTACCCATTTTCCTATGATCACAAAACTACTCAGGTATTTAAGGAAGGAATTTCAAAATCTCCTTGTCCTGAAATGAGCCCTCAAATCATGAGTCCATCAAGCACTGGCTTTCTTACTGCAGTAAAACTGAGCGATGGACATTGGTCTCTGTTGCTTCTGCTCAGCAATAAATTGCTAAAGATTGATTCCAGTGATGGCTTTCTATCTCACCTTATTCCAGAACAAGAGGCTTAGAACAGTTTCTGTTTATGATGATTCTTCGAGGGAAAATGCATGGGACAATGTACAGGAAATCAATTTACCTCTTTCTCCAAAATTTCTCACCGCTTCCACCTCTCAACCCTGACCACCCATCCAAAAGTAAATTGGCACTTTCATGGAAATCCTTCACTGAAATGGATTTTAACTAGCTCCTTCATTTGAATCCCAGATTGTTCCAAACCCATCTCAATCTTGGATCTTTTCATGATCTTTAGAATGAAATGACAAGACCCAGTAATTTAGATCATGGCCTTATTACTTGGAGGTGTTGAATAGAATCTATCATTTCTCCCTCACTAAGACAAATCAGAAACACTCTTCCTTCCTTATCAAAATCTCTGAATTCTGATTCTTGTTGTGACCTTATGTATGACTATCTGTGGATTAAATGTAAAAAAATGCATTCGGCCACAACAAATAACTCATTGGGTCCCCATTTAAAAAAGAATGTCATGCATTAGAAAAAATAGTCACAAGTTTATATCAAAAGGTAAGGAACCCCAAAGTCTTTCTATAACCTTGTCCTTCTGTCCTAGTTCTTCAGGCAATTTCATCACCATACCATGGATTATTCCATTTCATGAAAATGTGGAAACATTTAATCATCTCCCAGCCTTAGTGAACTGCAAATGGTGCTTGATCCAACAGGCTGATGAGAGGTGATAGGGACAGCAACGGTGCCCCAAAGGTCCTACGGGAGCCATCTGTTAGTCTGCTGATCCAGTTATAAAGCTCAGGAATGGTGAGTCTCTGCAAAGATGAAGGGCTCTCTAGAGCTAGGAAAGGAAAGCTAGACCTTTTTCCTTGCCTTATTCTGCCCAAGTGAGCTCAGGTCTGGTCCTGCTGCCCATTATATTGCTGTCCCAAAATAACTAAGGTCATAAGGAGAGATTTTTAAAGACTTTCTGTTGAAGTTCTCCATATCAAGTCAATTTGTAATGTAGAATTTTGTTTGAAGCCATTTTGTATAATACCTTTCTGAGCTAACTTGGAGCAACAAGCCTGTGGTTTCACCTGTGGTGGATAGCATCACTCCCCATATTTGACCACATTTTCCCTAGAGCATGGGAAGGCTTTTGCTCTGCCATTACTTAAGGATTAGTGTGGTGAAATCGGCTGAACCAATTCTCCTACTTCCCATTTTTCACAGCAACTATCTTTGAAAGTCATTCAGTTCAGCAGCTGACTTGACAAACAAAGCCCACACCTGGTTAAGTCCCCTCACCCCGCACCCCCACCACAGGTCTATACCCTGTCTTGTTGACCCTTTCCCCCCCACATCTCCTATGCCCATGCCGTCCCACTCCTCCAGGTGCCAATTGCCCCCAACTGTTCCAACTCCCTCCTCCCAGGACAAATGGGCTTTTCAGGCCTCCAAAGCCTCTGGCCTCATCCAATGTTAGGCCCTCATCTCCCTTTTCCCATAGGAGCTTTCATTCAGTGAAGTCCCTTCCATCTCCAGAGTAAGGCCTCTTTCCCTCATTAGCCTTTCCCCCTCTGCCCTACCCACTGCCCTGTGGCTCTTCTCTGTTTGAGACCACAGAGGCCACCTTTCCCTCATTGCTAACCCTTGGTTTGACCCTAGGGCACCCCTCTCCCTTCTTCCTATCCCCCTGCTTTGCTCCCCTTGCACATACCCTCCCATGTTATATTGTGGTCCCACAAGAAAAAGCATTCAGCTGTAGGCAGATAATCCCATGTTCTGTCTATGATGCCCCCTGTGCACCTCCTCACTGTCACCTCTACCAGATTTCTGCTGTCACTCCTGTCTCTGTGTACTTTTCTGGTCTCTCTGTTGCTGTTCCTGTCCTTGCCCACTGCGTTTACTCACTCTTCTGGCATTTCTGTTGTTTGGGGTGTTCGAGAAGCATATAATCTCCTCAGTTCTGGTTTTCTTTCTGAACATGCTTCAAGCTCTTCTTTCTTATTGAACATCCAACTTTTGTCCTGGGTGGCTCAGCTCAGACTTGCAGGATGTGTCCCCCTGGGACCCAGGAATGTCCTTTCCTTTTTATGTCAAGGTCTTTCTTCTGATGGCTGCAGAACTTGTGGTTTCTGAATTTAACTGTTAAATCGAACCACTCTGTGTCTTGGAGTTTGCAGTCTTGGGTTTTGTGCTGGAGGCGATCCGTGAATTCTTTGGAGTTTCATTTTCCAGGTTCAGAAGTTCTGGGAAGCTCTCTCCATAACCACATTTCCCTGGTTATGACATTAGGTTGTTTGTTTTGTTTTGATTCTTTGTTTTTGTGCTGTCATGTTCTGGGAGACCCCTCACCCTGTCTTTGAGGTCTGCATCATGTGTGCTTTAGTGTTCTTGGTTTTTGCTTCTCTCCTGCTAGGTTGTCCTTCCCAACTGTGTATTTGTTTTCCCCGCTGACGGTTCTCTCTTGTTTCTTTGGAGACTTGCCATGGCAGGTTCAAGTGTTTCTATTCTGCTTATCATTCGTTTTGCTTTGCAGGACGTGAATTCCACTGCCACATTCTCAAATTCCACAGAATTTTCTGTCTCAAGGGCTGGATCATTTCCCTTCATTCTTCAGTATGTGTTCATTGATGCCTGAACTCATTTACTAGATCTGGAGGCCACATTTCCTTCTGTTGTTACTAGTTTTCCTACTGATTGATCTGTTTATGTTTCAGGGTCTTTGAGATTCTTTTTTCCTAGTATTTTCTTTGGCATTTTTTTTTTTTTTTGCTTAGGCAATCGGGGTTAAGTGACTTGCCCAGGGTCACACAGCTAGTAAGTGTTAAGTGTCTGAGGCTGGATTTGAACTCAGGTCCTTCTGACTCCAAGGCCAGAGCTCTTCACTGCGCCACCTAGCTGCCCCTTCTTTGGCACTTTTAATCTTGATTCCCTCACTCCCCATTTTTCTTAGCTCTCATTTCAGACTTTGTCCCCTCTAATTGTAGCTTCCTTGGGGGCTGGATCTCAAAGTGCCTCAGCCTCCTCCTGCCCTGGGCAATTCACAGTTCACCAGCCTAAGTTCCTGCCCCAGTCTACTCTTGGGTGGTCAGAACTGGCCACAGCTGGGTGCTGGGCTCCTCCCTCAGGCTTGATGGAGTGCTGCACAGCACCCCCACCCCCAATAACATCCTGGTGATCTGTCTTGCTCTCTCAGTTTCTCAGCTCTCTGCCCCAGCACTGGCAGTCCAGAGGCTGCGGGTCAGAGTGCTGCAGCACTGGTGCTTCTGGGATGTAGCTCTCAGGGAAGGGCTGTGGTCAAGCTGGCCAGCATGGCCTGAGTATTTCCATGGCAGTGGAAATAGGGAAGAGGAAGGTGCAGAGGCGGTTCTGACGCAAGCCTGTGTCATGTTCTTGGGTCTCCTAGTGTAGGGTGCTGAATGAGCTCAAGGTCAGTGAGGGTCAGTTCCTTGGTTTTTTTTTTTCCTCCTTCTTTTGTATTCTGGATGTCCTACAACATGGAAACAGGTGGAGCTGCTTTATCTTTGGTGGGTAATTTCTGTTTTGGAGAGGTCTGAGAGGTTCTGGGGATCAGAGAGAATACCTGGACCACCATCTTGTTGCTCATGTGACCAGGAAGGCTCTAAACATAGAACCATAGATCTAGGCTGGAAGGGGCCTCACACCATCTTGTGTATTCAGTTCAATGCCTGCTGACTTTATGTAAAGCAGAGACACTGATTTTCCAAGAGGGCTGTTTTAGCAGGAACATATGAACACTTTGACCCTACCATTTCTTCAGGGTTAATGTGGTCAAGCCCAATGTCCTATTTCCCCCACCCTAGCTCACCCCAACTCACCCCTCCCCTCCTCCCTTTTAAACAGAAAATAATAATGAGGGCAATTTGGGGTATAAAAATTATTTTCTTGTCAGCTTCTCAGCCATCAGCAAAGTAGAAGTTTTGGTTTTGATTTTGGTTTTTCCTTAAGAAGAGAAATATAATGTGTCCCTTTGCATTGATTTTGTCAGTCCTTTTAATGTGTTGCTTTTTTTTTTTTTATTCTTTTAGCACAGTGGCTAGAGCATTGAGCCGGGATTAAGGAAGAATTGAGTTCAAATCTGGCTTCAGATACTTTCTTAAATGTGGGACCCTGGGCAAGTCATTTAACCTCAATTTTCCTCCATTTCCTCAATTGTAAAATGGAGATAATATTAGCATAATAATTGTCATAGAGATAATGTTAACTCGATACCATTTGTAAAGGACCCTGAGCACAGATAGTGCTGGACACACAGGAGGCACTCTATAAATGCTTATTCCCTTCCCTTTTCAGGACAAGCATTCTTCCCTCTGGATAGCATCTGAATGAGAATAGATCAGGGCAGACTTACATACTTTCTTCTCTCTGTAATTACAATACATGGTTCCTGATTTTCCACATCATACTTTTTCTCCAGCATCAGTTACGGGCTGTGCTTTTCTGGAACATTTTCCTGATGTCGGTCCTAAATTCTCCAAAAATGACCCTTAGGAGGGTTCCTTTTCTCCCCTGAGGGCCACCTCGACCGTCCATCTGATTCTCTAGTGTTTTTCCTTCCAAAGAGCTTTGGGGTCTCCAACTGGAAGAAACAAAGGAAGAGAAGTAACCTCTTTAATGGTGTAAATGCCCCCTCCTAAATATGGAAATGGAGAAGAAAGGCATCATGGACATTGTACCGAGGGAGCCCGGAGAGGCAGGAGCTTGTAAAAATGGGGACCAGACAGCGCCCCCTGCTGGGGGTCGTCCTCACTGGTGAGCCAGAGGACAGGAGGAAGGGATGGGAAGCCAAGCTGCATCTTAAGAGCCTGCTCACTTCTTTAAAAAGGAAAAACACCCCTCAGCCATGACAATGACAGCACCTTAAGGCTCACACATCACACGTTTACATGATCTCATCTGATCCTCATGACAACCCTGCCAAGTAGTGGTGTTATTATGTGGAGGATGGCGGCGAAGTGACTTGCCCAGGGTCACCCAGCCAGGAAGTGTCTGAGGCAGGATTTGAACTCAGGTCTTCCTGACTCCAGGGCCAGCTCTTCTTCCATGGCATCACCTGAGACGGTGTGAGGAAGAAGATGCAGATGATGCACAACTGGAGCATTTGTACCCAGCAAAGGGCCAAGATCTTCAAAGAAATATGCCGCAGTCTAATGGCTTAGATGGAGGTGGGGAAGGTGACTCTCTCTTTATTTCCCAATATTCCAGCAAGGAGGCTCCAAGAAGCTGAGGTTGTGCCAGCCACAGACCCGCCAGAGGACTGCAGGACAGGAGATCTGTACAAGGTCCCGTTGGGGCTACCCCGAAGTTCAGGGGCCAGGGGGCTGGGCCTATTTTCCCATAAGCAGGTGTATTGGGGCTGTTCCCAGAAAAATGGACAAGCAGTTCCGAGGAGACCACACAATGCCAATTACTGATGTGCAGCTGTGAATATTGTATTGGAAGCTGCAGCTGCTTATGAGGAAATTTGGAATTACGTGTTTGTAGTGTGCTTGTCTTTATATGAAGGTGCTTTTTTTGAACAGGCTAAAATGCAGAATATGCAAGCACATTGGTATATGTGTGCATTAAGTGCTGTACGATGTATGTTGGCTTTGGATTGTTGAGGAATTGTTTGTTGGTATTGTTTTAAGTCCCCAACATCCCTTGATGAAAGGTTGCCCAGCAGCACAGCCCCAGATAGGACCATCACTAAGGCATTGCAAGGTTTAACCACTTTAGCTGAGGAGCTGGCAGAGAACTCTGGGATCTCTGATTAAAGGGATGGCTAGAATCCTGGTGCGGCGATTGGAAAGGAACGACTGTATCCATTCAGCAGTATTAACTGCCGTAGGATGTTAGAGCAGGCGCATTAGAGGATGATGACCCTCATTAAGATTACCCCACGGTGGGAGTTCAGAGGGCAGGCTCTGGCAAAATAAGAATGATGATTGAAAGTGCCAATGAGACTTCTCCCAGTGATGGAGAATGCGAAATCATGTTAAAGAGATTAGAGGACACGGAAATTGGGAATGTGTGGAAGCCAAATCTTTACTAGAAAAGAAATGGGGGGAATTGCGGGAAAAATTTAGAAGGTAGGCTTCCACAGCAGAACAATGGGATTCCCAGATCTCGCGGATAGTCCCTCAGCCAATCAGAAAGTGCCCCAAACATGCAGCAAACAACTAGCTCCTTAAGAAAGAGCCCTGGAGGCTAAACCAGGTGCAACCCGTCCGGGTCAAGGACAACGGGGCAAAGACTTTTCTCCACCGCGTTTGCCTAATAAGCTTATGGAATATTAGCTGACACGCCCCAAGGGCGGAGATAGCCGCCATTTTTGAACATGGGAGGCATGAACTGGGAGGAGTTAACACGAGGTGGGATGGGCGGTTCAGGAAGAGTGTAACTCAGATGAGCTGGACCAATCCTAGCCCTGCTGGGAGGAGCAGGATCGTCCTAACAGTATAAAAGCTGGCTCTGGCTTCTGCACGTGTGTCTCTCCCACCAGGGGGCGCACCCGATTCTTGTAAGAACCGTAATAAATGATTCTTCTTTCACTCAGGACTTTGTTTCATGATTAAGAGTGAGACTCCACCCGGCATTGCAACTGGGAAAGCAATGGGCTAACTTCCCAAGCCTGCTGAGCCTGCGAGGGGCTCTGTTTCTAACATTACATGTGACAGATTCTGAGAAACCTGGAAGATTGATCGGAGAACCCGGAGAGTGATTTATATACGATAACCATGTGAAGGAAAACCGCTGTGAAAACATCAGAACTCGGACTGAAGCTGCAGACAACGGACTTCCAGAGATTAGACCTGCTGTCCACCTCCTGGCAGAGAGATGAAGGACCGTTAATGCAGAGTGTAACCAATGCGTTGATGTGTTTTGCTTGACTATGCATATTTGTCTTAGGAGAGGACTTCTATTTGAATTGGGTTATTTCTATAAGAATCTTTAAAGGAGCATAATAAAACGTTTTTAATGCCCAGAAGAAGAAAAAAGAAATGTGTTAGGAAACACAAACAGAGCAACTGTTTAAAATTTAACTATATGTGTGTGTGTGTGTCTTTAAAAACAATCTGTATGTAACAAATTCTATAGTTTCTTACAGATCCTTTTTCTAGCTCTTTCTCATTATTAAAATGCTTGCATTTGTTGAAAAAAAAAAGAATTGTTTGTTGGAAGTGATGGAATTCAGGGCTGCTAGGAGGTGTCCCAGTACACATAACACTAGCTCTGGCATCAGAAAGATGTGACTCTAAACCCAGCCTCACTATTTACAAGCTGTGTGGCCCAGGGCAAGTCAGTCAACCTCTGTTGGCCTTAATTTCCTCCTCTGTAAAATGGAGCTCATACCAGCATCTCCCTCCCAGGATGGCTCTGAGGATCGGATGAGATAATAATAGTAAAGCACTTAGTACAGTGCTTTAAATGCCCGCTGTTATTATGTTGTTTAATACAGAGTGGGATAAGTTTCTCTTTGACAGCTGGAGGTCCTATACTTGTAGATCAGTGAATGTCATCACAATCACCTGTGGGTAACCCATGGCATTTGACAGGTCTGCAATAGTGTTCTCTGGGGTGGGACTGGAGAACCCACTTGAGATGCAGCTGGGGAAGATGGGATCAAGGTCAGGGTACATTCAGAATTCTCTAGATTTTCACTTTGTGCGCTTCCAGTTTTCTTCCTATGACAAATGTCCATGAAGTTGAGCCTTTCCAGATACAAAGAATTACAGAAAAGAAGGTGATCTGTGGCACCATGAATCCCTATTATGTGCAGATTTAAGAGAGACAGAGGAAGGCCAGGATAGCTGACCCTAGCTATGCTTTCACATGTAATACACACTCACATGTGACTGTACATATAGACATGTTTACACAGATGAACATGTATGTGCACACACATGCATGTGTACATGTGCATGCGTTAGTGCATGTGTGTGTGTGTGCCTGTGTAAGTTGGTTGGTATAGAGAGTGGATTGTCCTTGAGTGTAACATCAATATTGCTGAAGGGCCTGGGTTGAAGGGGATTCCTCCCCCAGTAATCCCCACCCACTTGTAAGTTAGATGGAAGTCACTGTCTGGGACGGCCTGTGTGTAGGTTTGTGATGGATTCAAGAGAGGATCAGCTTGGTTCCCATGGTGATGCTCCTCCTTTCCTTTGTCCCAGGCTCACTTGCAAAATTCCTTATGCTTCTCCCAGGAGCTTTAGGTCATTCCTCTCCCATGGCTGCCCACCTGTCCTGCACATCACTCTATCTGGCTAAATAATATCTTTGTAGACAGACACCAAAGTGTTTGTAATTCAGGTGGGATGAGGGTTGAGGGAGGGGAATACAAGATCCCTTCCCAGTCTCCCTGTGCCTTGCTGTGAGGTCTGATGAGTCTTCTGCCCAACCTCTTTTGATGTGGCTAACAGAAAACACAACCAGGACAAATTGTGTCTTTGCAGGAACAGAGTAGAGAGCAAAGCACTGAGGTTACAGTCTATTGGTTCTAGAGGGATGGATGGTCTGGTTCTTCTCTTGCTTTGCCCCTGGGAAGGGAAGCATCCTCTTGCCTCCATCCATGCCTAGAAGGCAGAGGAGGACCACCATGTTGCTGCTGCCTTTACAAGGAGGAAGGCCAGATGACATGGAAGTAGCTAGAGAGCCCACAAGGTGATGAGAAGGGCAAGAAAAGAGACAGATCTGCACCATCCAACCAACCCTCCTTCCATCCACCCACCCACCCACTATTCAGTCTCTTCAGTTATCATCTGTCCCTTTCATTCATCCACTTACCCTCACTTATCCTCAGCTTTGGAGGCCTCGTCTGTTCTGGGGAAGGGCTAAGATAAACCTGAGAATGTAAAGAGAATAAAGAAATCAGTGAATCCCAAAATTTAGACCTAATATTCTCCAAGAAGAAATCCTTAACTGCCTCCACTCAGTTACAGAAGGAAGAGAGCCCTGGGAGCAGCAGCACCATCAGTCCTTCCCAGGAGGCAAGCCCAGACTCTATTTAGGATCCAGAGTGGGTGGGAGGGGCTGTTCACAGTCCATAGGGACCAGGTAGGAGGCTGGCTGCTAGGCTGCTGCTCCCTTCCCCCAAAAGAGCAAGAGAAGAGGAGCCAACCCACCCACCCAAGCTTTCTTGCCTTCTCCCATGCCTGGAAGGAAAGGAGCCAGGGGAGAAGCTAAGCCATCAGACTGATGCTTCTGCTTTCCCAGTAGTATCTCAGGGGCAAGGAAGCAGCAGGAGATACCCCAGGCTCTGCCCGCCCCTTCCTGGCATAAACCCATAACCCAAGGATGGGCAAAGCATCTAGGGTCTGCTTCCCTTGGTCTCTCAAGGGCTGAAGGATTAAGGTGAAGGCTAAAAGAATCACTTTTGAGATGAAACTTTAAAAATAGATGTGATGGGTTGGGATGGGGGGAGGGAATGGTGCTCAGCCAGAAAGGGGACGCCATGTTGGAATCAGGTCCCTGGGAGGTGCCTTACTTGAGCTCCAGAAATGGAGGTGCCCATCCATTATAGATTTGCTCCTTGCTTCTCCCCATATTTTTGATTAGCTTTTTCTTTAAATGCTTAGCTGCTAAGCCAGCCAGAACATGTATACTGACTTCACATAATTTTTCATTATCTATGATGCCTCTAAGCCCAACGCAGTCTTGTTGCTCATCTCTTCTTGTGACCAGGTCTATCTTTAATCTTGCCTCATCTCAATTGATTTATAGCCCCCTTGCCTTTTTGCATTCCCCTGAGTCATCAAACATTCCCACCCAGATATCAAAGGGCCTGTGGGTGCTCGGAGGGGCCTGGACCCCGCCTGACATCTAATGGATTCTGAAATGTGCCATGCTCTTGACAGCAGGAATAAGCCAGCAAAGGCAGAAGCCAGCTGGGTATTGTCCTGGTCTACTTCCAATACTGGCCCTTTGGTACCCAGGTGGGTTTAGGTGCCCCAACATACCCTTACTTAAAGAGCACAGGCTTCAGACCTTTTACTGGAACCTCCACTGGTCTCTGCAGGCCTGGGATGCATGGAGGGCTCATGGATCTTCCTTTTGGGTCTTCTTGAGCCAAGTCTTGCTGAGTGCCCTGTTATACCACTTCTGAAATGGATTTGGTGGTGCTGGGCTCCTCTGCCACCCTCTGTGGAAATCAGAGGCTCTGAGTGCTTGGAGATGTCTCAACTGGCTTTTCCTTGGAGGAAACAGACCAGCCTTGGGGAGATGCAGTTCCTCTAGGTGATTTGATCAAAGAGTGGAAGTGAGTTTGATGGTGTCTGTTTGTTGACTTTGGATGGAGAGACCCACGGGACACAGCAGAGGGTCTCAGAGATATTTTGTCCAGTAAAAAGTTCAGAGATTCAGTTAGAAAAAGAATTCTGAGAAGACCTGAGTTCAGCCTAGAACCCCCAGCCTTCTCAGGCAAGGGAGCCCAAGGAGCAACAGAGTTTTCTTGATGTCCCATTAGCCATGAAGCTCAGCATGGAAGCCTGGCAGAGGAGAGAGAGAAAGCTCCATGGCCTCTGGCTGGGGAGAATGAAGATGGTTTCACAGTGGTCGTCTGAGGCTAGGGAGACTGAAGACCCTCCCTCTCTACCGGGCTCACACAGCCAACTTCCAGCAGGCTTCCCTTGACTATGGAGGTCTAGAGCTGGGGGGCAAAAGGCCCTGCTTAGAGCTGGTTTGCAGAGTAGGCCAGAAGGGAAGCAGTTTCTCCTTGGTGGGGGGACATGGTACGTAATGTGGATGGCTGAGATTTGGGGAGACAGCTGCCACCTCAGGCATATCCTTAGTGGATAGATTGTCCAGGGCCTGGAGAAGGCAGTGGAGGCCAGAATGGATAACTAGCTACAGAGAGCAGGTCCTGCAGAGAAGAGAAGGTGGACATCAGTCAGAGACAGCAGCAGCTTTACAGCAGCCGAAGCCCAAGTCCACCTCCCTGTTCAGTCTGTTCTGTTGTCATTAGACATGTGTGTTCCTAAAAATCACTGGCTACACAAAATCACACCATGAAAGTCACAGAGGTGATGGGAAAATGGGGTCAGGAGCACATCATTCAATCAGTGACACACTAAAAAAAGATAGGAACCAAATCAAGGCAGCAGCGCAGTCTCATGCATTTGAATGGCTAAGAAATGATCAAATATTATAGTAAATAGTGGCTGAGTTCCCAGCCAAGGACTGCTGCTCAGCCTGCTCCCCAGCACCTACTGGGCTGGCAAAGCGGAGTTGCTCTGGGTGAGAGGGTGGTCTCAGTGGACCGCAGCTCCAGGCCATGGTGGAAGATGGGTAAGGGGGAGGGGCAGATCAATCTTCCTCAGCCCTCAGCTCCAACTACCCCAAAGATTCTGTGATAAATGTGGTGCTTTACTCTAAGAAAGCCCGAAGTTTTCTTGTAGACATGGGCATCAGAATGAGGGTTGCAGCTTGGGAGTTATTGGGAAGTGGTTCTGTCTTCCGTCTTCTCTGTTTCTCCAAGATGAAAGCCCACATAGGCTAACACAAATCAAAGTGTGTTCAGTCATTCTCTCTCTCTTTTTTTTTGTGAGGAAATTGGGGTTAAGTGACTTGCCCAGGGTCACATAGCTAGTAAGTGTCATGTGTTGGTCTGAGGCCAGATTTGAATTCAGGTCCTCCTGACTTCAGGGCCAGTGCTCTATCCACTGTGCCAGTCATTCTCTATTGCTCATATTGGAACAAATTCACATCCTCAAAGTGAGTGTTACAGCAGAACTGACTATGGCCCTTTCTTGCCTCTGATGTCTCGGCCACTTGGTTTCACATGAGCCTGTCCCCTGCCCCATGAATGTTCCCTCTTCCACTGACCGGTGATGTGTGTGTAAGAAAGTGTGCTGAGGTTTATGGGGATGGGTGATGGGATGACTTTCTGTCTTGCTATTTCATTAAAATACCTTCACTTTGATCTAAGCCTGATCAGCTGTGGACTGGCCAAAGCAAAACCCATGGGTAAAGGCTGAGGACATATGGTTTAGAGAGGATTCTGACCTACCCCATGCTTGTGGTCTGAGGTAGTCTGCTGAAGGCCAGGGAGAGGGGCAGGGTGTGTGCCATGACCTACAGATGCCTTTGGTTTAGCCTCTCTATATATGTACACACATACACACACACACACATCCATGTCATTCACATCCTGTCTGTCATACCCTTAGTGTGCAAGTCCAGCTCTACAAAGGGAGGTGTGCAATCCCTTCAGAGCCTTTTAGGAAGTAATGTCTGAACTTTTTTTTCCTCCATGAACTTTTTTTTTTTTAGGCAATTGGGTTTAAATGACTTGCCCAACGTCACACAGCTAGTAGCTGTCAAGTGTTTGATCTGAGGCCAGATTTGAACTCAGGTCCTCCCGACTTCAGGGCTGGTGATCTATCCATGTGCCACCTAGCTGCCCTGGTAATGTCTGAACTTTTAAAAATATTTTCCTAAAAACATCAAAAGAAAATGAAGTCTCCCTGTTATGAAATTATGGATTCACATTTAGTTCATTGAGTCAATATCCCCCTACTTCTGGTGGTTAGAAAGTGGGAGAAGCAGGCTATTGTAGATTGTAGTTTCTTGGTAACTCACAGCAAGATTGGGCATGCTCACAAACCAGGTCCCATCTGGTCTGTGGATAGGAAGCTTTTGGGCAATTCTGCTGCCCTTCTTACCCAGACAATCAGACATTCTGAGTGTTTCAGATATAGTATTCCCATAACTGGGGCCCCTAAGGGAGCCAGAGAGAGGAGACTGTCCATAGGAGAACCCAAGATAGACTCCAGCCTTTTTTTGTTTGTTTGTTTTAGGCAATTGGGTTAAGTGACTTGCCCAGGGTCACACAGCTAGTGAGTGTCAAGTGTTTGGTCTGAGGCTGGATTTGAACTCAGGTCCTCCTGACTTCAAGATCAGTGCTCTATCCACTGCACCACCTAGCTGCCCCTAGACTCCAGCCTTTCCCCCCACACTCAGCACCCTCTTTTGTCTCATCACTCCCCAATCCTTCATCTCCAGAGGGTAACTCCCAGGGGTGGGACTGGCACCATGGAATGCAGCCAATCAGGCCTGAGCTCGGTGAGAATGCCCTGAGCTGGGCTGGTCTGCCCAGGTAAGGATAGACCCTGATAAGAGGCACACTGAGTGCTTTGGCTGGAAGTGTGGACACATGATGCAGTACAGAGTGGTAAGTTTCTCATTTGTAACAGTGAAAATAAGGCAAATGAAGCACAAAGTTCCAAGCATGATCAATTTATTAGTAAAATGCAAATTTTCCAATAAATAGGATCTCAGCTTCTTAGGCAAAGCTAAGACCCTGAATGAGGAGGACAATTTTATAGGTTTGGGGGAGTATGGAACAAAGAACAGAGCAGGTTAGGTGATGTCATAGGGTTGAGGATGACATGACTGGTTACAGAGTGGAGGTATGGGGAGCAAAATGCTTGGTGGGAAGTTTGGTAATGAGGGGCCAACAACAACCCCTGCCTTTCTTCCGGGGACTAGGAAGTGTTCCTTGTTTGAGTCCACTTGCCAGAAAGAGACCCAGACTTCTTTGGACAACAAACCAGACATTCTTGAAGGACGGCTCCCTGATGCTCACTGCATCTGCAAGGCAGCAGAATTCCTTGAGGCAAGAGAACAGGATTTGAGAATTAACCCATTTGTTGGGCAGCTGAATTCTGAACTAAATTCAGAAACAGAGAATCATGATTCAAGCAGTCACAGGACAAAATCAATTGTCAATAGGATCAAGAAGAAAATGATACAGGATCAATTTAAGTCTTCTCACATTGGAGGGGAGAAGAGGAAGCTCAAGAGAGTCATAGATGTAAGTGGAGCCTTCCTCCCTTGAATTTTGTGGACATGCCCTCCCCTGGACACCAAGGTTGGCCCCCTTCTTCCTCATCTCCCTCTCTATTCCTCCTTATTCTGCTGACTTGAATGCCCTTTACCTACATAGGAAGTGGGGCCCAATGGTTTTTGTGACTGGGAGAGATTCCTAGTTTTGGGGCAAAATGCAGCACCTTTCTGCTCCTTAGGGGAACTGAAAGGGTGTATTGGGGGTTGGGGCCAGAAAGGAGTAAAATTCAGTGTATGGAGCAGAGGTCAGTATGATTAGCTTATTTGCCCCTGTTAATGCCTCTCTCTCTCTCTCTCTCTCTTCTCTCTTCTCTCTCTCTCTCTCTCTCTCTCTCACACACACACACACACACACACACACACACACACACACACACAAAGAGATAACATTGTCCTTTATAAACCAGGTGATCACATAATTTCTTGCTGTTTACCGATCTTCCCAATACATGATTGGAGGTGAGGGATGGACATAAAAAAAGAAAAGGTGTCCAAGGGGCTAAGAATTACCACACACACACTCCAGGTAGCCTTGGCTACCAGCTGACAGACAGCCCTATCATGCTGCATATCTGTTAGGAGACGTGACTCCTGACCTGTGGAGAGAATGGTGCAAGAAGAGGAGAGGTGTGGGTTTTGTGTGGGGAAGCTTAGGGGCCACCTTGCTCCCCACCACCCATTTGGGAAGAAGCTGACACATTCCCATTTCCCTTAATTCCTGGGACATGCAGAACTCAGGGTGGACTCCATGGAGGGAGCAGAGTGTTCAGCCTAAGCTAATCTGTGGTGATGTCCCCAGTGACTGTATTTTTCCTACTTATCTCTGATTTCCTTTCAAATAATAAGTGTTTATGGTGGGGTGGGAATTCAACCGTCAGATTAAGTTAACTGGGGCTGGGGCAGAACTACTCCTCCTCCTCCCTGTGGAAGAGGGCTTTTATCCTGAATCATAAAAGATTCCTAGCCCTAGGTGTCAAATATTTCATGGGTAATACATAGGTATAATTCCAGCCTGATATTCCTGGCAAGGGAGTGAGCAGCCACTTCCTCTTCTTACTACCCAACAAAGGTGGGCCTTAAGTCTCTTCTGAGGTGAGAACTCCAGCTCTATCCATAGATCCATTTACCAAGCTAGCTACCCAGCCTTTCATATAAGATCTTTACTGCAAGTGGGAATTTGTCTAATAGAATAATTTTGTAAGATTTCCTGGTTGTTTATCAAGAATTTCATGTGCATACACATAATACACACATACACATATAATACACAATACATATATAATATACACATATAACACACATGCATATAATACACAATGCATATATGTAATACACATACATATATAATATATATACACATATGTATAGTGAACCATTGTGAGCCCCCCCCATCACCTGAGAAAGGCCTAAAACCCGGATTTGGCCCACTCTGAGTTTAACCTACCATAATGCTTTGCATGCTCTGACATAACAGACATGCTTTGCTTTGCTCTCTGAGTGAATCCAAAATGCCCCTTCCTGTGTCAGCAGCTACAAGGCCAGATGAAGTGATCGGGAGTATTCTTCTGTTTATGACCGTCTAGGGCAGGGATCCTTGAACCAGACACTATCTTGAATAATGGGACTTTTCTTACCTTGGTATTTTATGGACACATGGTATGCTATGTTTCTTTCTCCCTCTCCATATACACACACACACACACATACATACATACATACATGGAGAGAGAGACAGAGTCATGTTAATGATGAAAGAACCACAGACATCCTGGGTCTATAATTTCAATCAACACTTTGACAATCTCTTATCTTATTGTATTTACAATCTGTCCTATTAAGACATTCCTTTCTCATATTGTGGTTGTCACATATGGAGACTATAATTTTGGTTGACACAGGCATCTTGAGCTGGGATTGCTCTAAGCGTATAAAGGGTCTCCTTCAGCTTGTTTACTTCTGAGTCAGAATTATTTTCTGACTCCCATGTGATACATGATTCTTTGGCCTAATGAGAATAAATATTCTTGTTATAGCACATGTACAGCCTGATTCCGTTTGTTCCCTGGTCAAACCTTTGGTAAGGTGAACCCTATTGTATTTGTTCTTAGGACAAACTTTCAGTTAAGGGGGAAACTGGTATTCAACCGTTTATGAAAGGTTTGGTCCAAAAAAACCCAACCCAAACAGAATCAGTTACACACACACACACACACACACACACACACACACACACACACACATACGTTAAAGTATTTGGATTTCATGATAGTCCTGAATTCTGAAGACCCACTGGATCTTGCCTCAGGAGTTTCCATTTTCTTTTTCTAAAATCTGGTTCAGGAGTGATTTTAATTTTAATCAAACTGATAGAGTTACATAGGGGTTAAGTTTCCACAGTTTCCACAGGTAGAAAAGTGCAGAGGGTTATAAAAACAACTCAAAGAGGCAGTTACACTGCAGGTGGGCTTGGCTTTAGCCAATAAGAAGTAAGCTGATGGTTCCAAGAAGACCCCCAAATCAAGATAAGGGCTGAGCCAGCTCAGACTGGTTAAGATCAACCCGAAGACACCAGCAAAATGTTAGTGCGCCTGAGGGAGGAGGAAGGGTGTAACCCAGGAAGGAAGGGAGTTTTCCCGCAAACTGCATAAAAGCACTCTCACCTTGGCACTCAGGGCCCGCCCCTCCTGAAGAGGGTTGGGGTGTTAAATCCTCTGGACTTCCTCTGTGATAAACTTTCTTGATACTAAATTTTTGGTGTCAAGCGTGTTTCTAACAAACCTGAGCTCCTCCCCTCCCCCTTTTTCTCTCTATCCTTCCCTCCCTCTCCTCTATGTGCCTTTCTCTCTCCCCTTCCTCTCTCTCTTCCCTTTCTATCTCTTCATCTCATTAATGACTTATAGAATTTATTATACCCTTTCACTTTTTTAATGCAATATTTAATAACTCATCCCTCCTTATACTCCATCCTGTCCCCATGAAGAAAAAAAAGAATAAAACAATTGGTTGGTGGCTGTCTTTCATTGTGGAAGAGTACCACAATGATGTCTCTATGCTAGAGCCAAGTTGGAGTGTGTCCAGCTACCGCTGATCAGGCCAACAAGAGCTCAGAATGTTCTACTGCAGATTAGGCACAAATAGTCCATGTGAACCTTTGGGGTGGACTCTCTAATCTGTGCATCTCACGGTTCTTTCGAGCTGCTACAATTCTGCCTTGCTCATAGAGCACAGTGCCTTCTCTGATGAGGGCACACCATGCTGGGCGGTCCTGTGCCAAGGTCTCTTGTGTCACACAATCAATTGCAAAGTTCTTCACAGAGACCTTGAGAGTGTCCTGGTATTGCTTCTCCTGACCACCCTGAGAATGCTCGCCCTGTGTGAATTCTCCATAAAATAGTCTTTTTAGCAAGCCTACACTTGGCATTCAAATAACATGGCCAGCCCATTGATGTTGTGCTCTCTGTGAGAGTCTGAATGCTTGGCAGTTTAGTTAGAGGAAGGACCTCAAAGCCTGGTATCTTATCCTGCCAGGCAATCTTCAGAATCTTCCTAAGACAATTCAAATGGAAATTATTCTTCAAGCTAAATATTTACACTCAACAGAAGCTGTGGCCCCTATGCAAAATGACTGATGTCAACAGATTAGAGCACTTCTCTGAGTAGGAACAGTTTGTTGCTAACTTGGAGGGAAAGTTGAGCCAACACACAGCTGGCAGAAAAGGAGCGGGCAGCTTTCAAAAATTTAAGGTACAGCACTGCATCTGCTCATCTGGGTCAGAGCACTTGAAACATCAAGACTGTTTTGATGAAAATTATGGGGGAGGAACTAGGTGGTGCAGTAGATAGAGCTCTGGCCTTGGAGTCAGGAGGACCTGAGTTCAAATCTGGCCTCAGACACTTGACACTTACTAAATGTGTGACCCTGGGCAAGTCACTTAACCCCATTGCTTAGCCAAAAAAAAAAAATTATGGGGAAATTCAGAAGCATTTCCATAACATAATATAATAAAAGTAGGCTCAGACTACCAGACATGGCAAGGAGTCCTGGGAGGCATGGAGTTGGAAACAGTAACATCAGGTCACATCGTGCATCTCATGGCCTTCTCATCACCAATACTGTCTTCCATTTACTTGAACATATCAGAACTTCTTGCATGCACCCTCACAGTTATAGACTATGTGATTGTAAGGAGAAGAGACACTTCGTGAGAATGATGAAGACACTATGTGGCGTGGAGTGCTAGACTGATCACAGAGTTATCCTCTCCAAGCTAAATATTTGCATTCAACAAAAGTGGGCAGCCTCAAGGCAAAATGACTACGGGAAGAATCAGTGTCAACAGATCAGAGCACTTCTTTGAGCAGAACAGTTGTTAACTGGGAGGGAAAGTTGAGCTACCAGGCAACAATGGAGCAGAAAAGGAGTGGGCAGCTGCTAAATGAAAAAAGGAGAGCTCTGGCAGCATTTAACTCCATCAAAAGTAAAGCACAAGTGAAGCTTAGAGAGATGCAGGATTCTTGGCTCAGTAAGGCAGATGAAATTCAGTGTTTTGTGGATAGTAACAATCCAAGGTGCTTTTATAATGCCCTGAAGGCTATTTATGGGCCAAAGACCTTTTGTATCTCAACTACTCATGCTACTCAACTACTCTTACTCAACTACTCAGTGCTGATGGAGCCACATTGATTAGTGACAAGGACACGATCCTGGAGAGAAGGGATGGACACTTCCACAATGTTCTCAACAGACCATCTCAACCGATGCTGAAGCCATTGACCATTTACCCCAAGTCGAAATCAATCCCTCCCTAGCTGAAGTTCCAACTGAAGAAGAGGTTCTGAATGCCATTGGGTTCTATTTGTGTGGCAAAGCGCCTGGTGCCGATTCTGTTCCAGCTGAGGTTTACAAGGTAGGTGATCCACTGCTCATGCAAAAGGTAACTGAAATTTTCTGGGTTCTATGGCAAGAGGAGGTTGTCCCCTAGGAGTTCAAAGATGCCTCCATCATCCGTCTCTGTAAAGGCAAAGGAAATGATTGTCCTATGACAACTAAAAGGGGTCTCTTAGTCATTGCTAGCAAAATTCTTACCAGAGTCCTTCTTAATAGGCTGATCTTTCACCTAGAAGGTGGTCGGCCACCTAAGAGCTTGTATGGCTTCAGAAAGGGCTGAGGAGGGGCAGCTAGGTGGTGCAGTGGATAGAGCACTGGCCCTGGAGTCATGAGGACCTGAGTTTAAATCTGGTCTCAGACACCTGATACTCACTAGCTGTGTGACCCTGGGCAAGTCACTTAACCCCTATTGCCTCACCAAAAAACAAAACAAACAAAAAACAAAACAGAAAGGACTGAGGAATGGTTGATAAAATAATTAAGTCCTGCTCCAATACCTGCATTTTGCCCACTGGCCATGCCCTTGGTGCATGGCAAGTTCACTCCCTTCCTCTTAGGAGTTGAGCCGCCATCCTCATGGATGAAGACCTTCATCCTTCCTCTGGGACTCGTGCTCATCTGGGCACTGACTGGAGGTGTCCAAAGTCTCTCCAAGCAGCTCTGCACAGCATGGCTCTCTCACTCTCCCACAGTGGCTCACTTTGCTGCCTGCATCAGTGGTTTTTGAAGTGGTTTCCTGTGAAATGGTCCATTTTGTCATTGTCTATGTGTGGCACTTCTTCAACTGTGGGTTGCAACCCCATATGGAGTCATGTAACTGAATGTGGAGGTAGGTCTCTGAATGCACAGCGACCATAAATTAATTAAAAATCAAACGCGCCATGAATCTAAGATGTCTTTGGCAGCACTTGCCCACTTTGCATCACAGGATTTCGCTGCAGCCTCGGTTCTGAGCACACAACTTGAGCACTTGGTACTTGCCATTGCCACCAATGCCAACAAACACTGTTAGAAACACCTCAGCCCAGATCTGAGACTACTGCATGTTATGAATTGCAGTGCCTTTACTGTACATACAAAGTTTTCTATTCCTGCAGAAACATAATAGTTTAATTACAGAAAATAAAAAATTCTAAAATTTTCCTATCATCATTGCTCAGCATGTAAGTATCAAATTAGTGTATCATTGTATTAGAATGTTTGATTTTAAAATTGCTGTCATCTTCTTCTACAGAAACATAAGTGTTTAATTGCAGCCAGTAAAGACAAAAGCCCTTTAATAATATTTCTTCACCATCACTGCTGTATGTGTATGTAAGTATGAACATGATTTTTTAAATTAAGCAAAAACAAATGTAATTTCATAAACTAAAGCTAATATTTATTTCATAAATTATTAGCAATATTTATTTATGTTTTAGGACAAAAATATTTTTTGTTATTGATAAGTGGCTATATTTAGACAGAAGAGATAAAAATACTGATAACAATGTAGCAGCCTTTGCTACCACGTTGTAGTACACCTAAGTGGACAAGAAAAAGAAAAGATGGGGGAGGGGACAGAGCCAAGATGGTGGAGTTAAAGCAGTGACTTGCTTGAGTTCATCCCCAAACCACTCTAAACACTTGTAAAAATGACTCTAAACAAATTCTAGAGCAGTAGAACCCACAAAAAGACAGAATGAAATACCTTTCCAGCCCAAGACAACCTAGATGGTTGATGAGAAAAGTCTGCTGTGCAGGGCTAGGAGAGGAGCACAGTTCAGTGTGAGCCATGCCGGCAAAGATTGGTCCCCAGCAAACCCAGAACAGGCCTTAGGAGACTGAATCATGGGCAGCTGTGGTGGTTTCCAGACTTCTCAACCCACAAATGCCAAAGACAACTTAAGAAGGTCAGTAGGAAAAGGTCTGCCAGATTTGGGTGAGAGAGGAGTGTGCGTCAGGCCCCAGCCCTGGTGCAGCCCTAGGGTGACAGTGGCTGTTTCCTGAGCTCTTGGACCACAGACAGTAAGGGATCAAGCAGCTGATCAGACACAGGGATCTCTTTGCTGGCACTGAGGCAGGATTCTCTTGCTTTGCCCATCCTTGGATTTGGGTGGCTGTCCTGGGGGGAGAAGGAGTGGTGGTGTGATGGAGCTTGGGGTGGGGTAACGGAGAGAGAATCCTCCTCACAGTTCCAAGGCAGAAAAGAGTGCTTGCAGTCACTCACAGACCAGAGCACAGGCCAGGAAAGGAGTAAATACCTCTCCTTTGATCATATCACCTTGGAAGAACTAAAAATTTACAGGTCCCTAGAAGTATCTCTGAAAACAGCTATACAAAACCCCTGAAGCTTGGGACAGTACACCCTCCACACTGGAAACAGACCCCTACCTTAACAAAGAGTTTAAAAGTCAAGTAATTGGCTGGGAACATGAGTAGGCAGAGGAAGAAAACTTTGGTGACAAAGAAGACTAAAACATACAACTGGAAGAAAACAACAAAGTCAAAGCTCCTACATCCAAAGCCTCCAAGAAAAATAGGAATTGGTCCCAGGCTATGGAAGAGCTCAAAAAGCATTTTGAGAAGTAGAGGAAAAATTGGGAAAAGAAATGAGAGTGATGCAAGAAAATCATGAAAAACAAGTCAACAGCTTGCTAAAGGAGACCCAAAAAAAATACTGAAGAAAATAACATCTTAAAAAACAGCCTAACCCAAATGGCAAAAGAGGTCCAAAAAGCCAATGAGGAGAAGAATGCCCTAAAAAGAAAAACTGGCCAAATGGAAAAGGAAGTCCAAAATATTACTGAAGAAAATACTTCCTTAAAAATTAGAATAGAACAACTGGAAGACAGTGACTTTATGAGAAATCAAGACACTGTAAAACAAATCCAAAAGAATGAAAAATTAGAAAACAATGTGAAATATCTCATTGGAAAAACAACTGACCTGGAAAAATAGATCCAGGAGAGAGAATTTAAAAATTATTGGACTATCTGAAAGCCATGAGCAAAAAAAGAGCCTAGACATCATCTTTCAAGAAATTATCAAGGAAAACTGCCCTGATATTTTAGAACTACAAAAGAGGGCAAAATAGAAATTGAAAGAATCTACCGATCTCCTCCTGAAAGAGATCCCCAAAGGAAAACTCCTAGAAATATTGTAGCCAAATTCCAGAGTTCCCAGGTCAAGGACAAAATATTAGAAGCTGCCAGAAGGAAACAATTCAAGTACTGTGGAAACACAATCAGGATAACACAAGATTTAGGAGCTTCTACATTAAAGGACTGCAGGGTATGGAATATAATATTCTGGAGGGCAAAGGAGATAGGATTACAACCAAGAATCATCTACCCAGCAAAACTGAGTATAATCCTTCAAGGGAAAAAATAGTCATTAAGTGAAATAGAGGACTTTCAAGCATTCCTGATGAAAAGACCAGAGCTAAACAGAAAATTTGACTTTCAAATACAGGACTCCAGTGGAACATGAAGAGGTAAACAGGAAAGAGAAATCATAAGAGACTTATTAAGATTGAACTGTTTACATTCCTGCATGGAAAGATGATATTTGTAACTCATGAGAACTTTGTCAGTATTAGGGTAGTTGAAGCAAAAAAGTTGTATGCATGTATATATAGATAGATAGAGGGCACAGGGTGAGTTGAAGATTAAGGGGTCATATCTGGAGAATAAAATTAAGGAATGAGAGAGGATGATACTTGGAGAAGAAAGGGAGAGGTAGAATGGGGTAAATTATCTCACCAAAAAAAAAAACAAAAAAGAAAAGTCTCTCACAGTGGAGGGGAAACAGGGGAAGGTGAGAGGGAATGAGGGAATCTTATTCTCATAGGATTTGTCTTAAGGAGAGAATAACATACACATTCAATTGGGTATGGAAATCTGTCTTACCCTACAGGAAAATAGGGGGAGAAAGGGACAAGAGAGCTGGGGGATGATAGAGAGGAGGGCAGATTGGGAAAGAGGGTAATCAGAAGCAAATACTTCTGAGGAGGCACAGGGTCAAAAGAAAGAATAGAATAAATGGGAGGGCTTGATAGGATTAAGGAAAATAAAGTTAGTTTTTCACAACATGTCTACTAAGGAAGTATTTTGCATAACTGCACATGTGCAACCTCTATTGAGTTGCTTGCCTTTTCAATGAGGGTGGGTGGGGAGGGAGGAAGGGAGAAAATTTGGAACTCAAAGTTTTAAAAACACATGTTCTAAAAAAATGTTTTCACATGCAACTGGGAAATAAGAAATACAGGAAATGGGGTACAGAAATATATCCTGCTCTACAGGAAAATAGAAGGGGAAGGGGATAAGAGAAGGGAGTGGGGAGAGATAGAAGAGAAGGCACACCAGGGGAAGGGATATTCAGAATGCATGCCATCTTGGCGTGGGGGGAGGGGTGAGAAATTTGGAACTCAAAAACTTGTGGAAGTGAATATTGAAAACTAAAAATAAATAAATTTATATTAAAAAAAATAGACTAACCTAAATGACAAAAGAGGTCCAAAAAGCCAATGAGGAGAAGAATGCCTTAAAAAGCAGAATTGGCCAAAAGGAAAAGAAAGTACAAAAGCTCACCAAAGAAAATAATTCCTTAAAAGTTAGAATGGAGCAAATGGAAGCTAATGACTTTATAAGAAATCAAGACATTGTAAAACAAAACCAAAAGAATGAAAAAAATAGAAGACAATGTGAAATACCTCACTGGAAAAACAACTGACCTAGAAAATAGACACAGGAGGGATAATTTAAAAATTATTGGACTACCTGAAAGCCATGATCAAAAGAAGAGCCTAGGCATCATCTTTCAAGAAATTATCAAGGAAAACTGCCCTGATATTCTAGAACCAGAGGGTAAAATAGAAATGGAAAGAATCCACTGATCACCTCCTCAAAGAGATCCTCAAAGAAAAACCCCTAGGAATATTATAGCCCAATTCCAGAGTCCCCAGGTCAAGGAGAAAATATTGCAAGCAGCCGGAAAGAAACAATTCAAGTACTGTGGAAACACAATCAGGATAACACAAGATTTACCAGCTTCTACATTAAGGGACTGGAGGGCTTGGAATATGAGGTCAAAGGAGATAGGATTAAAACCAAGAATTACCTACCTAGCAAAACTGAGCATAATCCTTTCATGGGGGAAAAATAGATCTTCAGTGAAATAGAGGACTTTCAAGCATTCTTCATGAAAAGACCAGAGCTGAATAGAAAATTTGACATTCAAATACAAGACTCAAGAGAAGAATGAAAAGGGAAACAGGAAAGAGAAATCACAAGGGACTTATTAAAGTTTAACTGTTTACATTCCTACATGGAAAGATGATGTTTGTAACTCATGAGACCTTTGTCAGTATTAAGATATTTGGAGGGAAAAAAATATATATGGATAGATAGATAGATAGATAGATAGATAGATAGATAGATAGAGGGCACAGAGTGAGTTGAAGATGAAGGGGTGATATCTAAAAATAAAATTAAGGAGTGAGAGAGTGTTATAGTAGGAGAATAGGAGAGGGAGAGATAGAATGGGGTAAATTATCTCACATAAAACAGACAAGAAAAAGCTTTTACAGTGGAGGGGAAGTGGGGGAAAGTGAGAGGCAATGAGAGAATCTTATTCTCATTGGATTTGGCTTAAGGAGGGAATAACATACACCCTCAATTAGATTTGGAAATCTATCTTACCCTACAGGAAAACTGGAGGGAAGGGGATAAGAGATGGAGGGATCATAGAAGGGAAAGCAGATTCGAGGAGGGGGTAATCAGAAAGAAACACTTCTGAGGAAGGACAGGGTCAAAAGAGAGAATAGAATAAATGGGTGGTGGGGTGGGGTAGGATGAAAGGAAATATAGTTAGTTTTTCAAGACCAGCATTTATTATCAGCCACCTAGTAAGTGCCAGGCACTGAGTTAAGCACCTTGCCAATATGGCACATGCGTGATCTTCACAACTAGCACTGGAAGATAAGTATCATTATCCCCACCCTACTTTTACTCATGTAGTCAGGAATGTCTAAGGGGAAATAGTTTTTACTTTATTTTTTAAATTCAAATTTTGGTTTGTGGTTTCTTTTCTTTTACAACAGAAACTAGCCTTGTCTCCCTTCCCTACCTCCCACTTCTCTCCCTCTCCCCTCCCATTGAAAAAGGAAGAAAAACTAATGCCTATTACAAGAATGTATGTAGTTGAGCTAAACAAAATTTCTCAACGGTTATATCTAAAGAAAATCATATCAATCGCCACTGAGTATCATCTTTCTATCAAGACATAGAAGCCACATGTCATCATGAATCCTCAGGAATTAGTTGATCATTGCATTGATCAAAGTTCCAATGTGTGTATATCCACATATACAAATACACACATTTGTATCAGCCAAGATCCACCTGCTTACCCTCCCAACTGCTCCCTCCTCTAACACAGGAAACACAAAACCTATTACACAGAAAGTGTAGTCAATCTGAAAAAAAAAGCACAATATCTACGTCCTAAGAAATATTTCTCATTCTTCCTTCACCTCCAGTAGGCAGCATATTTCATCATCTTTGGCCCTCTGGACTCTTGGTTGGACAGTAAGCTAATTCAGGTTCAATGCAGTAGTATTCTGTTACATTTATGGACCTTATTCATCCATACTCCATTTATGCATAATGCCTCAGATTCCATTTCTTTGCCACCTCAAAAAGAATTATAAATACTTATGCATCCTTTGAATTTGTTTTGCTTAGGCCTAATCCCTCCCACAATCTATCCTCCTTCTAATTCCCCCTCCCCTTTCTCTCCTTTCCCTCCTCTTCACTAGTAAGTAAAATGTATTTCTATTCCCAACTCTGCGTTGTCTGTACTCTTCCTTCCTTTGACTAGATGACCAGAATTCAGGCATAAGATGCTCCCACCCACTCCCTCCTTCTTGTTTGTATAGATACATACTTGTGCTCATTACATGAGATAATATTTCCTAACCCTCCTTTCCATCCACCTACCTTAGTGTATTCTTCCTCTCTTTCCATCTTTTCCTCAAGATCAAGACATAACAGAATCCCTTCCAGGATTTTTCTAATATGATCCTTTCTTTGAGCTTGGTTAGATATCAAAGACACCGAGGTCATCCAGTGCATCCCCAGCCATCACGGGTCATCTTGACTCTGCTCTGCCACTGGACTGTGATTAGTGAAACTTACTGTTTGAGGTAAAAGTTCATGGGACCGTAAATGATTTTATTGTGAGTTGTCTGATGAATCATAACAATCCATCAATAATCAATAATCCACCATCTGAGAGAAATGCCACAAGCCACTCAGAGAGAATGTGATAAAAGTGAGAAGTCAGCATTGGGAAAAGCTGAGAGGACAATTTTAGCCTCAGTCTAAGATGGGATCCTCCTGGCTCAGTTTCCCCATTATATTCTTTTGAAAAGGAATGTTACCCACCTGGCTATTCCTGAGTCTGGCTATGCGGTGGATACGACACTGCATGGTTGGAAAACTGTGAATTATGTGAATTCAAGCAGGGCTAAGGATGTTTTATCCTGAAATATTTGGGTCCTAAATCTAGTCCCTGCTTTATTCTTTTATAGCAAATTTCTATAATCAGAGCAAGTGGTCAGTAAAAGATCAATGCAAGTGTGTGAGATCTTGCTGTTTTGACTTGAATGTGTAGTCTTTCAATACCCCCAAACAACTGAAATTAAATCAGAAACATCTTCAGTTTGGCTTGGGGAGGAGAATTTCAGTGAAAATGGAAGTGAAAGTCAGTCTCTTGGCAAAGTCATTTGTGTAACTATTGATTAAGGGTTGGAAAACTCCACCTGCAAAAGTATTACTTCAACTTTTGAAAAAGTAACAAGATCAGATAATCCTGCAGGTCAAATGTAAATTATTTTAATGGGGCTCTTACACTTTTACTTCTCCCTATATCTGGGCCCTGCAGTCTTTTCTGTTAGATTTATGTCTTCCAGACTACAGGCCACTCACCTACAGTTGGTAGCAAATGGTGGATACTGGCCAATGTCCCTTCATTGTCCCCTGGATGGGTTGGTATATGGGGTTGTAATCAGAAGTGGATTACAGACTGGGCAGTACTTTTACTTTAGGTTCAGATGCTAACTTAACAAGTAATTGAGTTTATTTGATAATGCTTAAGGTGATAGAGAATTAGGAATTAAAATAATGTATATATGCATACAATCAAGTGAATCAACATAGAACAAAGGATAGAAATAGATAAAGAAAGAAGAACACTTCACCAAACCAGGGAGCTCCAAATTCCTGACATAAGGAACTGGGGAGACTTAGAAATGGTCCTCAGGGTCCGACAGAGGTGGGCATCCCCATCTCTGAAACAAAGACCTCCAAAGGTCTGTTTCCCAAGTGGCCCTTTTTATATCTATGTAAACCATGGGAAAACAACTTTAGAACTAAGAGGGAGCTTGGCCAGAGCTCCGGATGCCTGTATTTTATGTATGTGTCCAAGGATAGGCCAGATCCTTGGACACACACATATTTCTTGAGATAATGATTATTCTGCCCGAAGAACATAGTTTGTTTATTCTTTGATGTTTCATTCCCTTGGTGCTCCTGGTCACACAAACTAACTTTAAATTACATCCCTTATGTCAGGTCATGAGGTGGTCATATGAGGGACTGGGGAGGATCTCCTCAGTTTCCTTTACAGGGGTGTATTGGAATAACAGCTTAATTAACAGCTCTGAGATCTTGAACCATATTCAGTGTTCTCCATTAGGCTTTTTTACAATAATGATACAGATATTACATGGGAATTGACAAGGAACAAGGGGTCCTAGGTTTAACCAAGAGGTTAGAGATTAGGAGATAGGGAGACAGGAAGCCTGAATCCTGATAGGAAGGCTGAAACAGGACTTCCAGATTCCTATGGGTAAAGTATGAAGTCTGGAAAAGTATTACCAATGGTAAATCTGGGGAGAGTGAGCCAGAAAGTTTGGGGAGTGATTGGGAGTCTGGAAAAAGATTTAGGGGTAGGGAGCTCATTCAGTAGCCAGGGAAGGTGTGCACCTGGAAGACCTGGAGGACACTCACCAACGAGGTCAGATGAGGAGAATGAAACCCAAAGGCAAGGGCAGTCAGCAGAAGTCAGGAAATATGGGGAGCTCTGGCTCAGACCTACCTGGGACTTAAACGCATAGAGCTGTCTTCCAGAAGGCAGAGTGATGTCAACTTCAGGGAATTCAGGGAGATCTCAGCTCTAAAAGAAGGAAGAACAATCTCAGTCACAAGGGAAGGGAGAGATTTCAGCTCCAAGACAAGGCAGAGAGATCTCAGCTTCTGGGAAGATGGAGTGATCTCAGCTCCAAGGTGAGGCAGAGCTATCCCTGCTCTAAGGGAAGAAATCAGAGATCTGAGCTCTAGGGAAGGCAGAGCAGTCTCAGTTCAAAGACTTCCTCCTTCTGGCCAGCACACTCTAGGAAGGTTTTCCTATTCCCCAGAGCACCACCATGTCCAGCCCTTGAGGCCCTGAGGATAGTTGGGCCCTTTCCTCCAATCACACCCAGGGCCAGGACTCAGGGACCCAGACTGCCTCTCCTCCATAACCCCTGTCCTTCATCACATGGAATGCCTTCTCCACTGCAATGATCCCATCTTCCACCTTAAATCCTCTCAGGCCTACAAACTCCACCCTGCCCCCAACTGAAACACCACTATCCTGGTCATCTCTGTAAGCTTCTCCCCCTCCAGTGCCTCCACCACCTCCTTCCCTCCCTCCCTTCCAGACTCACCCCCTCCTCCTTCTGAGCAGAAAGACTGCCAGGATAAAACTGCAACATCAGACTAACTGAAAGCAATATACTCTGTACTTTGAGGAGCTGACAGCAAATGGCTCTTTGGAAAACTGGGATGCTGTATGCCTTCTTTAAATCCAGATTGTATTGGACTGAGTTCTCCCATTGTAATTGTGATGTTTGACCCTCTACAAGTGGACCAGATGTTTAGGCAAAATGGACTTAAAATTGGACATTAGGAAATGTGATTAAAGGTAATTGGATCAGAATAACTCTACCTTATCAGGTTATGCCATGTTTCCAGGGAAGACTAGTACTTCTGGTATGAGGGCTGCTGAGTCCTTTCCAGGGCTGCTTTCTATCTTTGGTGTCTATCGGATCCACACAATCTCACCTGTGTCTCCAAGAAACTACAGTTTAGCGACCACACCCTGGTAAACTGTTTTGGCAGACAGTTAAACCATATTGAGGGCAACCAAGGGGTCTCAAACCCATTGGTGAGTTAGGGGGGTGTCTACTCTGAGCATGTGAAGACTTCCCCTGGTGGAATAGGTGGATGAGAACAATTTGTTCCAACCACCGTAGAGCTTGGTTAGATATCAAAGACACCAAAGTCATCCAGTGAATCTCGAATCATCACTAGTCATCTTGACTGTCCTGCCACTGGACTGTGACATCTATGGAAGAGAGAGAGAGGCCTATGACTTCAAGCAACTTTGTCTCACTTAAATCCAATTTGTGTGTGAGTCAAAAGACATCTCCTGTACCATTTTACCATTACCCATCTCACAGTCCTGTGGTGACAGACAAGTGATGAAGCAGCAGGTGTGGATACACTGGAAGCCATAGTCACAACCCCGCACACAGGTAGCCCAGGCCCAGGGTCATCTACTCACTAGAAGCACCAGTGGTATTCGGCAGCCCCCTGGGTGTCTGAGGAGCCTTTTAAGGACCGCACTGCTCACTTCATGGTGTGAGGAAGCAGCCAGAAGAGGTGACCTAAAAATTATCTGCTTACTTAACCCTGGCCTGTTTACCATGGCAGGATCCCACCTTGTGGTCAAAATACACACACACACACACACACACACACACACACACACACACACACACAAGCACAAAAACTTCTGCAAATATGATTCTACTATCAGTACATGGAATGTATGTACACTTATGGACAACAAAATGCAGTAGACCTGGAAGATGAAAAGCTATTGTTGCAAGAGAATTCAGCAGGTATCATATACAAATAGCAGCCCTTTGTGAAACAAGGCTAGTGAACGAAGGCTGGCTTACTCAAGTTAGAGCTGGATACACATTTTTCTGGAGTGCCAGCAGTGAAGGGGAGCGCTGTGAACTGGCACAGGGTTTGCAATCAGAATCTAGTCAACAAGCTCATACACTTATCAAAAGGAGTGAATGAAAAGCTCATGATAGTATGATTGCCACTCGCAGGAAAGCACCCCACCACCCTCATCAGTGCCTGTGCTCCTGCCATGACAAACCCTGACGAGGTCAAAGAAAAATGTTATGAGGACCTAGAGACACTCATCACCAATGTGTCACAAGAGGAGAGGCTGATATAACTCTGGGTGACTTTAATGCTAGACTAGGCTCTGACCAATGCCAGGGAGTCCTTGGGAGGAGCGGAACGGGAAACAGCAACAGCAATGGTCACTCACTGCCGAAGACTTGTGCACCTCGTGACCTTGTCATCACCAACACAATCTTCCGTTTCCCTATATACGATGAAACTTCATGGATGCACCCTCGCAGCAAACACTGGCGTGTTAATAGACTAGTTGATTGTAAGGAGAAGAGACAGACAGGATGTGAGAGTGACTGAGTCAGAGTGTGGCACAGAGTGCTGGACTGATCACAGACTTAGCCTCTCCAAGCTGTGTATTGGCATTCGACAAAAGCAGTAGCCCCAAGGCAAGATGACTACCAGAAGACTTCATGTCAACGGATCAGAGGAACAGTTTGTTGCTAGCTTGGAGAGAAAGTGGAGCCAATACACAGTTGACAACAGTGGAACAGAAAAGAGTGGGCAGCTTTCAGAGATTTGGTGTATAGCACAGCATTTGATCATCCAGGTCAGAACATTCAAAAACATCAAGGCTGGCTTGATGGGGGTAGCTAGGTGGCGCAGTGGATAGAGCACTGGCCTTGAAGTCAGGAGGACCAGAGTTCAAATCCAGCCTCAGACCAAGCACTTAATATGTACTAGCTGTGTGACCTTGGGCAAGTCACTTAAGACCAGTTGCCTAAAAAAAATAAAAAAGACTGGTTTGACAAAAATGATGGGGAAATTCAAAAGCTGCTAAATGAGAAACGAGAACTCCTTAGTGTTTACCAGCAGCATAGTTCATCCATCTCTAAGAAGGCAGCCTTTAACTCCATCAAAAGTAAAGAACAAGCAAAGCTTAGAGAGATACACAGTTCTTGGCTCATTAAGAAGGCAGGTGAAATTCAGTTTTACTTTGATAGTAATGATCCAAAGTGCTTTCATGATGTCCTGAATGCTATTTATGGGCCAAAGATGTATAGTGTCTCTCAATTACTCAGTACTGATAGAGCCATACTGACAAGGACATGGAGAGGTGAGCTGAATACTTCCATGGTATTCTCAACAGACCATTATCAATCAGAGATATTACTCCTTCCTGAACACATTTTATTCCCAGTGAAAATCTGGGTAAAACAGAAAAAGATGAGGGACAATGAAGAAAGGGAGAGAAATCCTTGCTGGAAAGGGGAAGAAAAATGGACGAAATTCAAAAAGTAATGAACAGGACTAGTTGAAGGGGAAGAGAGGAAGAGAAATCTATGAGTACCTGAGAGGAAAAAAGGAGAGGGAAGAAATGTAGAATGATGTGAAAGCAGAGAGACAATAAAATTTCTGGAGAAATTAAAGTTAAAAGACACGGCATCTTCTAAATAGGATAACAAAGGAATATGCATATTTCTTTGCAACATGTAGAACTTCTACCAAAATTAACCCACTAGGGCACAGAGATACTTTAAACAAATGTCAAAAGGCAGAAATAATCAACACATCCTTTCATTCCATAATGAAATAAGAAGGGAAATAGATTCGGGGACCACAAACAAAAAGACACAAACCCAAGTGGAAACTTAGCAATCACATATCAAAGGACAACCGAGTCAAAGAACAAAATACAGAAATGATAACTTTGTAAAAGAAGATGATAATGATGAAACAAGAAGCCAAAATTTCTGGGATTCAGCTAAAGCAGTCCTCACAGCGACAACATGGCTTTACAATCATACCTTAAGAATATAGAAAAAGGGAAGATTGACTATGTACTTTAAAAATTAGGAAAAACAAATGAACCTAAGATAAGCATAAAAGAAAAGATATAAAAAATAGAAGATAAATAGATAAATTGGAAACAAAAAATAGAAATGGCAAATAAAACTAAAAATGGGTTCTTTGAAATGACTAATAAAGTTGATAAAAACTCATAGCTAATTTGATTAAAGAGAGCAGAAGATCAAATCAATAAAAGAGCCAATGACAAAGATAAAATCATAGCAAAATCAGAGGAAATAAAAAGGATAATCACAACATAGTATGTAGTTTTATGCTAAAGAAACTGAGTTTTATGCAAAAAATGGAGGAATACCTCGAAAACCAGGAAATGCTCCAATTATCTGAAGACCAGACAGATATATTAAATAGCCTGATCTCAGAAAAGGAAATAGGCTTAGATGTAAATGAACCAAAAAAGAAAACAAAACAAAACAAAAATCCAAAACCAAACTACCAAACCTTCAAGTTCAGATAGGTTCGTAGGAAAATTCAATCAAATTTGGAAAGAACTGATTTCCTAAATTTCACAAATGATTCCCTAAAATAGGAAAGTATCCTACCAAGAGAAATATAGACCTAATCTCTAAACCTGGGAAAGTCAAAACACAGAAAGTAAACCCCAAGCCAATACCATGAATGAACATTGCTCTCAAAACTTTACATCCAATCCTTTCAAAGTGACGTGTGTGTGTGTGTGTGTGTGTGTGTGTGTGTGTGTGTGTGTGTGTGTGTGTGAGAGAGAGAGGTCACTGGTGTTCATCCCCTACTCATGAACATGGAGTATGTTGCCCTCTGAGTGGATACAAAAATCGACAATGCACCTGCCTGGCTACAAACTCCGCTGCCTTATTTGGGCTGTTGCTAGCAAGGACCCTGACAATTTTTAAACAGGATTAAATGAGAGAAAATGTATAAAGTGCACAAAGTGACACATAGTAAGTACATATAACCAGCCTCAGACCCCCTTCTAGTTTTCTTATTATGCCCCCCCCACCCCAGCCCCTGCCACTTACCCTCTGACCCAGGGCCACTGGCCTCTTGACTGATCCTTGGTCAAGTTCCTCTATCTCCTGACTGTCTTTCCAGTGGTTGCCTCCTATGCCTAAGATAGTCTCTTTCCTCACCTCA